GACCTTCTTTGGAGACCCAAGGTTAGATATTCCTGAGTTTGAACATTTAGAGACCATGTCAATTGAGGAAGGAGAGATGCAGGCATCCACTATCATCAGAGAAGGAGTGGCAATCATTGGAGAAAGAGGCTTTGGTGTTGGAGTGGAGGCGTCGTTGGGAACTGTTAGGCGCGCGCCTGCTGCACACAAGAGGGGGTGCTAGGCGCCCCTTTGGGCACTGATTTGGGTGATTTTGGTGAGCAGGGAGGTAGGCATGACTTGGGTGAGGCTGCTGCGGTTGGGCGAGCAGGCTTGGACGGGCGAGCAGCCTATTGGGTGAGAAACTCGTTGGACAAGCAACCTAGGTACACTCTGTGCATAGGCGATTTTGGCAAGGATAGAAGGGAAAAACAGGTTGTTTTGGGCGAGCCTGATGAGGCATCTCAACCTATTTTGGGCATTAAGGCGCCTACGTTGGGTGCCAACGGTGGTGAAAGCACACTGGGCAGCTCGCTAGGCGAGCAGAGGGGCGCCCCCTTGGGCGCTTGTTTGAGGAGTTTTGGCGAGGCTAGGGCTTTGGGCGAGCAAGGGGCTACCCTGGGCGCCTTGGGCGAGCCTTGGGCTGTATTGGACACCTCGGCTTCTCGAAGCCTCCTTCGAAATGGCTCAAGCAATACTTCGCATCCTCGCAAGAAAAAACACTAAAGCAAGGTAACTCTTGACGATGGTGGGTCCAAAGTAAGTACCATTTTTAGTATACCTAATACTGACGATAAGATTCTGAGGATTGTTTCTGTTTATCACATTCTCCAAATAGTACTATGTCGTCGAGCTGAGATGGGTGAGCACGTCTCTAATGACTCTTCTAGGGACATTGTCATCTATGAGGAGATGCTTGAGACTAGGCTCAGGTTCCCCATGCTTTCTTCTATTTGTCGCATTCTCCATTATTTTTCACTCACCCCGGGGAGATTGTCACCCAATGGTTGGAGGGTTTTGCTGTGCTTTCTAGTGTTGTGGAGGAAGGTGCACCATGAGGATGTCTCTCCTGTGGAGTTTCATGGAGCTTATACTTTGAGCAAAACCTCAGCTCCCAATCAGTGTTGGTATTACTTTACCACGAGAGACAAGCTAGTCACCCGTCTGTGGCCCAACTGTTATAGTTGAAAATCTCATTTTATATTTGTCGACGAAGAGTAAGCTGTAGAGGCCGATAGGGCTTTAGTACCAAGAGGATGGGGTGCCCCTAAGAAACTTGATATGCCTTACACTTGCTTTCTTTCCTTGGCTTTTTTTTTTTTTTTTTTGTACTCATTATTTCCCCCTGCAGATTCTCCTATGCTCTCTGGGGACCAAGGGTGGAAGCTGCAGGCAGTGAGAGTTTATCCTGAAAAGGACTTTGGAGTCCTTATATCCAAAGATGGTGGGGCCAAAAGTGCTCCTAGAATTCGTGCTACCCCGAAGTCCGGTGGCTCCTCTTTTGTACCTTCCTCATTTACTTGATGTTTTCATTTAGGTAACACTTTATTTTCCTTGCAACAGTAGATAAGGAGGTGATTGGGTCTCGCCTCTCAGGTAGGAGTCCTCCTCCTTCCAAGGTGGCAAGGACTTCCAAGGTGGCAACGGGTAACGTCTCTCAAATGACCTTTCCAATGGTGCTGCTCGAGGTGAGCTCTCCTTAGTCAACCCCTCTAGTGGTACCTCAGGCGCCCTCCCATCAAGTGACCCCTCCAAAGATGCCTCCTCGATAGGAGACTGTCACAGTTACATCTCCTGCTCTAAAGTCCCGCTTGTTGGCCACACCTTCTGCCCTTCGTTCATCCACTCCTTATGCGGGGACTTCTATTGGGGCACTTTCTCGGATTAGCTCCATGTTGGGTAACACGCAGATCAACAAGAATTAGCTTGGGAGGTTTGTGTTCCCCAATGATGTGAATGAAATTAGTTAGGTAAGGGTTTGTTATCTCCCCTTTTTCCTTTCCTTCCATAAGTGTCTGATATCCTTTGTCTTTTGTTTTTCTTCAAACCTTAACTGTATCTATGTGTTTATTTTCAAGGACCTCCTTTATCACCAGCTGAAACACAAACATGAAGTCGTGCAAAAATGAGCTTCCAACTGTTCAGGGGAGGATCGTCGAGCTTGAAGCTGCTAGCAGAGTTTCTGAAGCTGACCTTGTGGCAACCCGTGAAAGGGTGATTGGTCTTGAAACTGAGCTTTCGGCGACCCATGGGAGGGTGGCCAAGCTCAAGGCTAAGCTTGCTATGGTCCGTGAGAGAGCCATGCTCGGTGAGGCTGAGCTTTCGGCGACCCACGGGAGGGCGTCCAAGCTTGAGACTGAGCTTGCGAAAGTCCGTGAGAAGGCTACGCTCAGTGGGCTGAACTTGCAAAGACCCATAAGAGGGTCATGCTTAGAGAGGCTGCCGCAGAGGCAGAGGTGAAAGCTGCTTAGGAGAAAGCTTTGCGGGCTGAGGCAGACCTGAAGAATGTCATTGTAGATGCTTTCATTGACGGTTATGAGAAGCTCTGGGGAAAGATTTCTGCTGCTTTTCCCGATATTGATGTCTCAGGCTTCTTGCCAGCTGAGGCGTCTGATGATAATGATGAAGTTTTTGAAGATGCAGAGGATGATGATGAGGAAGAGGATGACAACCATGAGAGTAGTTAGAATGCTAGGGACTTTTTGATTTTTCTCTCTCTTTTTTTTTAGGAAAGCAATTTGTAGCCTTACTTTTGTAAAAGTGATTTTTGCCAGTGATGCTCCTTTGAAGTTGAGAAAGTTGAATACAAAAATGTAAAAATTATTTTGTAGCAAATCTAGAAAGTTTTATTCATTTCACTGCTTATGCAAAGCAATATCGGGTAATAGCCTCACAAAAAAAGTATAAAAAATAAAACCAAGTCCCCAACTTTTCTACTTTGACTCTCTCAAGGTGTTATTGGTAGTACCTCTTCAAGTGCTCAATATTTCATGGATGGGGCAAAACCTTCCCCCTTACAACTCTATATCTTGTAGGTGCTCGGCCTCAGCACTTCTGTTATGAGATAGGGTCCCTTCCAGCTTGGTACTAACTTTCCTTCTCGTGAATCCTTTGTGGTGAGGATCACTTTCTAGAGGACCTAGTCTCCCGGTTGGAAAGAATGAGGCTTCACCCTTGAATTGTAGTACTTTGTCATGCGACGCTTGTATTCCGCGTTGCGAACCACAACAATCTCCCTTGCCTCCTCTACCAAGTCGAGATTGATGCGGAGTCCGTACTCGTTAGTGATGGAGTCGTGGTATTGAACCCTTAGAGAATGCATTCTGATCTCCACAGAGATAACTGTCTCAGTTCCAAAGGTGAGGGAGAAGAGGGTTTCTTCGGTTGAAGTTCTTGGTGTGGTCCAATAGGCCCATAATACGCCTAGGAGCTCCTCAATCGAAAAACTCTTTGCCTTTTCGAGCCTTGTCTGCTCAACTGTTGCTGATTTTTTTTCTCTCTAAAAAGTCTGTAAAATCATTTTTCTTGCTATGTAGCTGCTCATCTGTTGCTGATTTTTTTGCTCATTTGTTGTTGATTTTTTGCTTTGCTCATCAGCTGCAAAGCTCATCATCTGTTGCTGGTTTTTTTTCTCATCTGTTACTGATTTTTTGCTACCCTGTAACTGAGACCCCCGTCAACTCAGAAACACCCTCTAAAGTTGCTAATTTTTGCTTTCAAATTTTTATAATGAAACAAGTTTTCTGTTTTTATTTTAAATTTTTTTACAACTATAAAAGCAACTAAACACATTTTCTATTTTTATTTTTTTGTTAACGAAAATCTAAAATTAATTTATTTTTTATTTTTTAAAAAACCAAAATTATAAACTTTACCCAACGAGCCCAGCTGCTAGCTATAAGATGTTTGCAAACTCCAGTCTATCAAGACTCATGTGTAAAGAACTTAATCTCAATGTTGAATTAGTCCTAATCACAGCCAGCCCAATTGGCAAAGGACGAGATCCCACTCAAGTGGATGTTTTTTTCAATAATCAAAATCCTTTAATCCAAACCTCAAAAACGGTTCAGAAGCGACAGCAACGTTGTTTGTATATAATTATTTTGTTTTTTTGCCGTTACAGGTCACACACCCCCACTCGAACTCGCCTCCTAAATGTAGCCTATAAAGAAGTCCCCGAAACCTCTCTCTCCTCCACCCCACCCCTCCCTTCGCAAACCAACAGAGAAAAAACCAGAGCCACCTGGCCCAGAGGAGGCAGAGAGCTTCACGGAAAACGAGAAGCTTTCTTACATAGGAAGACGGTAGCTGACAAAGCGTGGAAGGTGAGAAACACGAAGGAGCCTCACCCTCGATCTTTCTATCTTCTTCTTCTTCTTCTTCTTCTTCTTCTTATTCATATACGTATTGGGTGTTTCTCAAATCTTGAGGAAGAAGAAGATGGCGATGGTGGGTGAGTGCATTGTGGGGACTTTCTTTGCCTCTCTCTTGGGGTTTGTTCTTCTCTACATTTTGCGCCTTTGGACCGTTAAACACAGGCGAAAGGATCATTTTTACGGGAACGGAGGAGAGAGTGGTTATGAGTTCCGGAGCGATAACATTAACGGTGAATGCCGACCCGATAAGAACTCCGATGCCGATGTCATCATCGTCGGAGCTGGCGTCGCCGGTGCAGCCCTCGCTCACACCCTTGGCAAGNTTTTTTTCAATAATCAAAATCCTTTAATCCAAACCTCAAAAACGGTTCAGAAGCGACAGCAACGTTGTTTGTATATAATTATTTTGTTTTTTTGCCGTTACAGGTCACACACCCCCACTCGAACTCGCCTCCTAAATGTAGCCTATAAAGAAGTCCCCGAAACCTCTCTCTCCTCCACCCCACCCCTCCCTTCGCAAACCAACAGAGAAAAAACCAGAGCCACCTGGCCCAGAGGAGGCAGAGAGCTTCACGGAAAACGAGAAGCTTTCTTACATAGGAAGACGGTAGCTGACAAAGCGTGGAAGGTGAGAAACACGAAGGAGCCTCACCCTCGATCTTTCTATCTTCTTCTTCTTCTTCTTCTTCTTCTTCTTATTCATATACGTATTGGGTGTTTCTCAAATCTTGAGGAAGAAGAAGATGGCGATGGTGGGTGAGTGCATTGTGGGGACTTTCTTTGCCTCTCTCTTGGGGTTTGTTCTTCTCTACATTTTGCGCCTTTGGACCGTTAAACACAGGCGAAAGGATCATTTTTACGGGAACGGAGGAGAGAGTGGTTATGAGTTCCGGAGCGATAACATTAACGGTGAATGCCGACCCGATAAGAACTCCGATGCCGATGTCATCATCGTCGGAGCTGGCGTCGCCGGTGCAGCCCTCGCTCACACCCTTGGCAAGGTGAAAATCCACGTTCTCTGTATTTTGTTCTTCAAAAGGTTCCGTTTGTTTCCTTGGAAAATAGCTCNTTGGCAAGGTGAAAATCCACGTTCTCTGTATTTTGTTCTTCAAAAGGTTCCGTTTTTTTCCTTGGAAAATAGCTCCTGGAAAAGAAAAAGAAAATTTTCTCCAATTTGATGGTTATTGATGTCATAAGACGTAAATAATAGCTGTTTTTGTTTTCGGAGAATAGAAAATTGGAAAAATTACCTGTCAACTGAAACAACAGGGTATATATCGAATTACTTTTAATTTCTTATTTTCTTTCCTTTTTTTTTTTGTTGGGCATATTTCGAATAATTGGAACAATAAAGCCTGTATGCTCTAGTTCTCTTTCCTTTTCCCGTAGGTTTGTTCTTGTTCCCAGGGGTGTTTAGCTTAAAAAATAACTCTTATTTCAGGGTGTCTGGCCTCTGTCAATTTGTATTTTCATGGAATCTATGCAATTCTGCAGAATATGTAATGTTTTGTGTGCCTTTTGTGTGAATTTCTGCTTGTGTTTATGTGCTTTTTGGAGTATACTTTCTTACCATCATATAACTATCATCTGATCTGTAACTAATGTAATTCATGATTTNTATGTTTTGTGTGCCTTTTGTGTGAATTTCTGCTTGTGTTTATGTGCTTTTTGGAGTATACTTTCTTACCATTATATAACTATCATCTGATCTGTAACTAATGTAATTCATGATTTCACCATATTTATGCTATTATTATATGTTGGTTTTTTGGTTTATTGTGTGTGGGATTTGTCATGATATAGAAACTTGTTGTATTCTTACAAAACCCCTCCTTGGTAAGGTCATGCTACGCTGAAGCTGGTCATTTGCACTAACTTTTTACTGATTTACTGTAGTTTTTAAATTTTTTCATCAAAATATTGCCTTTTCAAATTTAGTTACCAAACTACCGTTATTTTTATGAAGTCGTGTACTCGTGTTTCTGAATTACAACCTTACACCAAAAGCGTGTTTTAGAGGCATGCATTCAATGCGTATGACTTTGATAAATGAGTTTTAAACTATGGTATTTTGATAACTAAATTTATAAAAATACCTTAGAAGAAGAATTAATTTTCTTTTGCACAGCCATAAGGATAAGGCTTGAGCTAAGATCATGACGATAACAGAATAGCATCATATGAAAGTTGGGTTTTTAATTTTTGCTGATTCTATGTCGGGCTAATAGCGTGTTAGCTAACTAAAATTTTTGTAAACATTGACTTTCATGTCTTTTACTTGGCCCATAATGATGTCTGCTAACTTCCAAGTTAATTATCTCCTTCCTTTACCTTTTACTTCATTTCATAATTAGCTTAGCAAGGCATAAGTTCGAGTTTGTTTCCACTCTTGTTACTCTTCTTAGTTGCAAAGGCAGTCAATTATAATATCAGTTTCGCAACAAATCACAGGATGGACGACGAGTTCATGTGGTTGAAAGAGATTTGACAGAGCCTGACAGAATTGTTGGTGAACTGCTACAGCCAGGGGGATACCTAAAATTAGTTGAGTTGGGCCTTGAAGGTATGCATAAAAGTTATCCTGCATTTTATTGTGTTTTTTATCACCTTTGATAAGCTAATAATTGTCTGAAACAATAACAGAACTTTTTGTTCAGAAACTTGTGTGGGTCAAGAACCAGTCTGCTTTAATTTACTATTTATACTAATGTCGGACCTGTGCAAGGTATGGGATTTACAAGCCCCCTCTTGCTCTTCCTTCCACCCACCATTGGGAAACCAAAAGATTGTGAGACGTTATGGGTTACTTGGGAGTTCAAAGAATTATGAGAATTTATTGGAGATTAAAACTAATTTTAAGAAAGAAAAAATCTAAAAGGAGTACTGGTTGGTTACTAAGAGAGTGGAAAGGTAGTTTATGTGAGCCAACTATTGAGAACTTGGTTGGATGAATGAATTAAATAATTTAAAATTGTTAGGAAATTAGGAAAGTGGAAAGGAAGGCTTCTCAGGCTCCTTTCTCTTTAATTTGATTTGATTGTTTTATATTAATAGATAGATGTGCTTTTCTTATAACATAATTGATATTTGGTAGTTAGATCTAAAATGTTGGCACATATACTGCAGATTGTGTGGAGAAAATTGATGCCCAGAGTGTTCTTGGATATGCTCTCTTCAAGGATGGAAGAAACACAAAACTGTCTTATCCCTTGGAGAAGTTTCATTCAGATGTTTCTGGAAGAAGCTTCCACAATGGACGCTTCATCCAGAGGATGAGAGAAAAAGCTGCTGCTCTGCCAAAGTATACTTTGTTTCCCACTTTGCAAATTTTTATTGTTTGTTCATATAATTGATTAGATTAGTGGTGTTACGCGAGTACTGGATAATTTTTGTCTATACCCTGCTTTGTTCTAAATTCAGTTGCTCTTTTTCCAACCTGTGCATGAGAATTTTAATGTGTAGAACTAATTCTTGTTTATGTCGCCTCTGACTTTACATTTGGATTTATTGACCTTCCTTTTTTAAAGGCCTTACCTTTGCTCAACAGTAGCTTTTGTTTCACTTCTTTAGAACGATTGGCACATTTTTGTTATAGATTCATTGCTTGAAATGGAATGCATAATCTGGGTTTTGAATGTATATCTCATACAATTTCAAACCTTCCCTAGTCTAAAGTGAGTTTCTTATATTTTTTAACTGTTTTATTACCTGGGGTATTGATTGCCCTGACCCATTTTTGTGTTCAAATTTCTCCAGTGTACAGCTAGAGCAAGGAACTGTAACAGCCCTGCTAGAAGAAAATGGAACTATAAAAGGTGTTCAGTACAAAACTAAGACTGGTGAAGAACTTAAAGCNAAGGAACTGTAACAGCCCTGCTAGAAGAAAATGGAACTATAAAAGGTGTTCAGTACAAAACTAAGACTGGTGAAGAACTTAAAGCATATGCTCCTCTTACAATTGTTTGTGATGGATGCTTCTCAAATTTGCGCCGCTCACTCTGCAAACCAATGGTAAAATTCTGAAAAGATTTAATTCCAAGTCAAGGATTATTGATTTTTCTTTTTTGACTAATTTTTTTAATGTTCACTTCAATGACATTTAATCAAGAAAAAAAATTTGTGTACTTCTTTTATATGCTGTTGCAAATTGCAATTAATTGAGTACATCTGTTTTTTCACTTGCTTCATAGTGTTCTAGGACATTTACCTTTGTCATCATTTTATGTTTACAGGTAGATGTGCCCTCTTGCTTTGTTGGTCTGGTCTTGGAGAATTGTCCACTTCCATTTCCAAATCATGGACATGTTATTTTGGCAGATCCTTCCCCGATCTTATTTTATCCAATCAGTAGCACCGAAGTCCGCTGTTTGGTTGATGTACCTGGTAAAAAGCTNACATTTAATCAAGAAAAAAAATTTGTGTACTTCTTTTATATGCTGTTGCAAATTGCAATTAATTGAGTACATCTGTTTTTTCACTTGCTTCATAGTGTTCTAGGACATTTACCTTTGTCATCATTTTATGTTTACAGGTAGATGTGCCCTCTTGCTTTGTTGGTCTGGTCTTGGAGAATTGTCCACTTCCATTTCCAAATCATGGACATGTTATTTTGGCAGATCCTTCCCCGATCTTATTTTATCCAATCAGTAGCACCGAAGTCCGCTGTTTGGTTGATGTACCTGGTAAAAAGCTTCCTTCCCTTGCTAATGGTGAGATGGCCGACTATTTGAAGACTGTGGTGGCTCCTCAGGTATATATTACTTTCACTGCATGATTTAGACATTTCAGATATAAACAATGCCTAGTTGTGTTGGTAGTCAAATCATCGAAATTCCCACCTCATTCTCAGAATCTGGTTTTGAAAAGAACATTTCTTGTTTCAGATTCCTCTTATGCTGCATGATGCCTTCATAGCTGCAATTGATAAAGGAAATATCAAAACAATGCCAAATAGAAGCATGCCGGCTGCTCCCTATCCTACTCCTGGAGCCCTATTAATGGGTGATGCTTTCAACATGCGTCATCCTTTAACTGGTGGAGGAATGACAGTGGCACTCTCGGACATTGTTGTCTTGCGGGATCTCCTTAAGCCACTTCAGGATCTGCATGATGGAGATTCACTGTGTAGATATCTGGAGTCCTTTTACACCTTGCGCAAGGTAAGCTAGATTTAAAGTATGGTGTTTGATATAATTCAAATATGATAATTTATCTTGGATTGCTTCACATTGCAAGTTGAAGCTCAATTTTCCTGAATTTGAAGTGCCGGCTGAATGTTTGCATGCCACAATGAATTTTCATATTAAACCCCTTTCCAAGCAGATAGCAGAAGAGAAATTGTTATTTTGGTCAAGCTCTTACATGGTTTAATTGTGCAATCAAACTACTGAAACTCAAAGTAATCCTGTTTATGACATGTTAAATCTCAGCCTTACATTGACTTGATATTTAATGGTCTTCTTTGCAGCCAGTGGCATCTACTATAAATACTTTGGCAGGGGCCCTATACAAGGTGTTTTGTGCTTCTCCTGATCAAGTGAGGAAGGAAATGCGTGAAGCATGTTTTGACTACTTGAGTCTCGGAGGTGCTTGTTCTACTGGACCTGTGGCTCTACTCTCTGGTTTGAATCCTCGTCCACTGAGCTTAGTTCTCCATTTCTTTGCTGTGGCTATATTTGGTGTTGGTCGCCTATTACTTCCATTTCCTTCACCTAAACGCTTGTGGATTGGAGCTAGATTGATCTTGGTAAGTAGCTGCCATCCTTTTCAGTAGATGGTTAATAGGATCAGAAATGTTGATTTTTTGATTTTTTGTGCTATGCCTAGTCTTCCCTTTTACTAAAGATGTTATGGCCTGCATCACTACTAATAGTTTGGCATACAATGAAAAGATGTGTCAATTTCACCCTCAAGATTTTGTCTAACATGATAATCTTTTCTCAAATTTTTTTTATTCATTTCTGTGGAGCATGCTAGGCATACTCATGAGTTCCACTCAAGTAAGAAAACACTAGTTCCTGCTGCTAATGAGAGCCAATCTGCATTATCTTCCATCGATGCAGTCATTTGTGATTGCTAGTCAAATTTCAACACACTATGCTCCCATCATTGCGGGTCTTTCAGATTTATTGAATCTTTTCCATGCATGCAGAAAGACTGTATTGTTTCTACTTACCAAAAACAAATTACTTCCAAAAGGTAACCCATTCATGAACGATTATCAATTTTTCAGGGTGCATCAGGCATCATTTTTCCCATAATAAAGGCAGAAGGAGTCAGGCAGATGTTCTTCCCTGTTACTGTTCCAGCATACTATAGAGCTCCTCCGGCTAAATGAGATACCCAATTCATCAGCACGATGTTATCGNGAGTCAGGCAGATGTTCTTCCCTGTTACTGTTCCAGCATACTATAGAGCTCCTCCGGCTAAATGAGATACCCAATTCATCAGCACGATGTTATCGAGGTGGCTTTGCATAGAAGACCAGTTAACTCTTATGCACCACTATTGTCCTCCCTGAAGAGCGCTTCGAGCCATTTATACAATTTTTTGGACAAATTAGGAATTGCACTTCAAATGTAGAAATGATTTGTTCCTTTGAACTAAAAAATGTACTTTTCATAACTGTTGGCTGTGCATTTAACGGTATCAAAGGTAGGCATACTTCTTTTCGCCTGAATAAAGGCTAACTTATAATAACAAGTGCACTAAGTACGCCCTTTGTAATAACTAGTGCAAAATGGTATTTTCGCTTGAACATAAATTTTTTTTTTCCATTCGAAATTAATCTGTTTTTCTTTTTTGAAGAGCAGATTCAACATTATGCTGCTTTCAACCTTCTGTTGAATTTTCGTCTGTGCAGTTGCTTTAATATACTGACATTCACTTAATTATTAGAGATTTTAACTGCACCTTCAATTACTTTGTTTCCATGTCACAAGCAACAACATGTTTGTGGTTTCACATAAAACAGTTGTATTTAGTACACAAAGCTCTCGTCCCTATTGAAGGGCTTGGGAGAGGCAATCGAGTACCAACGTATGTACTGGTAGTACTTATCAGTCTGTCTTAAACTATAAAGTACGGATATTTCGTTAAAAGTTGACATATTCATATCAGATACGATAATAGTCGAATANTAGACAACTTTATCAAGTCTTGGAGAGGCTCATAGTGAACGCGGATGCCAAATGGTTAGGCGGATGAGTACCAACGTATGTACTGGTAGTACTTACTAGTCTGTGTCTTAAACTATAAAATACGGATATTTCGTTAAAAGTTGACATATTCATATCAGATACGATAATAGTCGAATATTCAAATATATGTATCAGATATACACCATACGTATCCAATAATTGATAAAATATATGGATATTTATGTACATGTAGTAAGATGTATAAATTTTAATTTTATTCAATACCATCTTCTTTCGAGTTCACATATAATACAATACGTCAACAAATTTTCATTTGACTTTGAACGCACGAATGTTTTTTTAAGTATTATTTACTTTTTTGGGTCAAAAAAGTATAAAAAGCTGANATCAACAAAATTTCATTTGACTTTGAATACACGAATTTTTTTTTAAGTATTATTTACTTTTATGTGTCAAAAAAGTATAAAAAACTGAATTAGTTACGCTATAATTTTATAAATAAATAGTTTTAAACAAAACAACTAGTTAAATGTTAGTTTTGATTATTTTAATTAGTCATATTCACTTTGTGGATATAACATAACAAGACAATAATTTACATCTATTCAATGTAAAAANGTCAACAAATTTTCATTTGACTTTGAACGCACGAATGTTTTTTTAAGTATTATTTACTTTTTTGGGTCAAAAAAGTATAAAAAGCTGAATTAGTTACGCTTTAATTTTATAAATAAATAGTTTTAAACAAAACAACTAGTTAAATGTTAGTTTTAATTATTTTAATTAGTCATGTTCACTTTGTGGATATAACATAACAAGACAATAATTTACATCTATTCAATGTAAAAATTGCTAATTTTACTTATTATTGTTAAAAAATTACTAAAAATTGTAAATGTTTAAGTCGATAGATAATAATAAAATATAAAATATATTTTAATAAAAATGTATTATGGCTATATTCGTATCCTATTTTTTAAAATTTTATCGTATAATCGTTTTTGTATTGTGTCGTATTATATTCGCATTCGTACCGGCTAGACCGTAAATAGCATTAGGCTCATGCCAGTCATGTTTCTCACGCCATCCGCCTCAATTCTAGGTTNATGTTTAAGTCGATAGATAATAATAAAATATAAAATATATTTTAATAAAAATATATTATGGCTATATTCGTATCCTATTTTTTAAAATTTTATCGTATAATCGTATTTGTATTGTGTCGTATTATATTCGCATTCGTACCGGCTAGACCGTAAATAGCATTAGGCTCATGCCAGTCATGTTTCTCACGCCATCCGCCTCAATTCTAGGTTTTGTTAATGAAAGACAATAACAATTTCATGGCATGCTTGAGACAGTTTAGCCATGGCAATAGTGATGACACGAAGTGACGTTGATTGAGACAGTTTAAAAAGAAAACAATTTCAGCCAAGATTCAAAAGAATTTGACGATTGTGCTTTAACATCTGGGGAAAATTAGTAATTTGTGCTTTGCCGATGATCTCATACTTCTTTCTCAGGGTGATGTCCAGTCAACTCAAATCAGAGGTAGAAATTTCTCTCTCTTGTAGGTAGACTACAGTTGATTAAATCAGTTCTATGTAGCATTCAAAGATTTTGGCCTAATCATCTCGTGTTGCCTAAGAAGATCTTCAATAATATTGAACAGACCATGAGATCATTCATGTGGTCAGGTCTAGAACTGAGGAATACTGGTGCTAAATTGGCATGGAGGGACATTTGCATGACTAAAGAAGAAGGGGTCAGGAAATAAGGCGATGATGGTAAGATATGTCTTGGTAAGTTCTTACTGATGTTGACATCATTTCGGCTAAATGGTCAGGAAATATTATCTTAGACCATGTTTTGTAATTAATTAATTTCATGAAATTTTTGTAAATTTCGACTTATTTTATGGTCATAATGCTTCAACATACAAGATCTGAAAATGTCAATTAAAAGGAGGAAATCATGCGTCAAAATAACATCAAAAATAATGTGTATACACCTTCTTACTTAGAACAAGGTAATAATTTAGGGATCTAAGATGATCCCTTAGTTTAATAGACTTAGAAGGATTAGTGTTAAAATTGAATCGATAATTGATCCGAGTATGACTCCTAGGTATTTTTTAAAGAAAATTTTTTCTAAACCTCTTGTGTGTTTTGAAAACATAAATTTCGGCCATCATCGGATCCCTCTTGAACAACANTTTTAAAGAAAATTTTTTCTAAACCTCTTGTGTGTTTTGAAAACATAAATTTCGGCCATCATCGGATCCCTCTTGAACAACACCTTTAGTGTTTAGCAGGACAAGTTTTTTATTGGTTTTAGGTTTAAAAAATTAGTAGAAACCATTCTATTCTCTCTAGCCTTCGCTAGAGTGGTCTCTTCATGACTTTGAAAAAAATCAGGCAAAAGCTAAATGGAGTACCAAGGGTCGCCCTTTGGGTTGCTCGAGCAGTCCCATGGTCGCTTGAACGGTCCTACTCTCTTATGTCATTTTGAAACTCATTTTTCATTCTAGTGACTATCACCCTCTCGCTGCTCGAGCGGTTTTTGATCCTCAAGATTAACCATATTTCAAGCCCGTAAATAGAGGAATGCCTTCCCACACTTAGGGTAAGCTTCTTGTGAGTTTTTTGAGAGATAAAGTAGATCTTATAACTTGAGAGCTTACACCACAACTCCAAATCTCTAAATTCAAAGGCTACCCATCTAGCAATTCCTATCTCACATCACACATTGGAGAAGAATAACTTGCTTTGTTGAAGACCAAACTCATTGACAAGTGTGCATATTGAGATTTGTGAGTGCGTCCTTATGAATGCTCGAGGCCTAAATGAACTGTGCAGTGAAAAGTTCAAGTAAAACTATCCAAAACGTCAAAGAGGGAGTTTTATTGGCAGAGATGTTTATTGAAGGAAATGTGCGTCTAATCATGGTATTTATTGAGGCATAAGTCTTGAGTACTTGTAAGTTGATTTTGGGATATTGAATTAGGCTTCGGTGAAACCCACTTGATTTTTCGCGATTTTTTTCGANAAGTTGATTTTGGGATATTGAATTAGGCTTCGGTGAAACCCACTTGATTTTTCGCAATTTTTTTCGATAAGGGTTTTTTACGTTAACAAATTACTTGTTTTATTTATTGCTTTTCATATATACTTGTGATTTGATGCACACATGCACAGTATATGTTTAATGGAATGATTGATTGAATATATTTATGATCCATAGTCGCATGATAGGGTTTAGGTCTTTTGAATGGGGATCGCCGTGAGAGATTCAATGTGTGCATTTAATTGACAAATTAACCAATATCAATCTTCAAGGGCTTAAGGGGCCGTGGTGTTTTAAAGGGGCTTCTCACTATTAATTGATCAATTTTGGTGAGAAGAGGTAATTGAGAGAGTAATAGGTTTAATTTAGTGTTTGTCCAAACTAAAAATTTGAAAACCTATTCATCCCCTCTAAGTAGTGTCTTGCAATCCACTTGTATAACCGTGAGGGAAGATTCACCTTATATCTCTTCCTCCCGGAACAACATACTAGGTGAAAAATAAGAATTTTTTGGGATCCTAAAACTCCACAAGGTAGTTCTTAGAACTGGAGGAAATTACTCTGAGATGTAAGGATATATGGAGATGGAATGTGAAGCATATCATAGGGGCTGGCAAAATTACCGATTTGTGGAGAGACAATTGGCATCCATCTGGCCCTTTGTTATTAAAATGGAGTGTTAAGAGTTTTTTATGATTCAAGACTTCCATTGGGATCTAAAGTTAGTGATATACTTCATGAAGGAAATAGTAGAATTGGGCATGGATGACCTCTGTTGAGTTACTTGAAATTAAAAACTCTATGCCACATGCCATCTTTTGATTCGATGATTCGACCTCCTAGAGAGCAAGAAGACAATGAAAAAGAGGTAAGAAAAGCAAGTAGGAAGAGTGTCATAGGAAGAAGCCATCATACCAATAATAGAAGGATTGTGAGGTTAATAGGCCTGCCCATAACTGACTCCTATTTTGGTGGGATGAAAGGATGGAAAGGGGAGCAGTTCGAAATGTTGACCTATTCGGGAATCTCCAAATTTATGCTTATTTTCAACTCCCCGAAGCATTTCGTCATTTACCACGCCCTTCCTTATCTCTGGGTGCTCCCAGTTTGATCACTTCTTGAGATATTGTCAAATGGTTGCCTTCACCAAATTGTATATATCCAGCTTTGTACTTGATCACCAATTCAAACCGTTGTAGGAACTGAAATTCACTTCATATGACATGCCTCCTGAGGCTGGGACTGCATCTATAAATACTGAAGGGGCTTGTTGATCAGAGTGGCCTATTCGTAAAGCGTATCCTTCCCTAGCAAATAGTGCCTCCAGTCTTTCACAGCCAACGTTATCGTGTACATCTCCATCAGTGTGGTACACAACCACTCGGCTGTCTTGCCAGAAAATGGCTCCCAATGCATGAGCTAAAGCATCCCTCTTGATTTGGAACTGCTTCTGAAACGTCTGGCATGGCCAGAACTGGTGCTCCACAAAGAATCTTGGTTTTCGTTTTCCTTGTGATGGGCCTAGAAGAGGGGAACATGTCAAGTATCAGCTTAGGATCATGTCTTCTTAAGCCTATTTTGGATGTACAATGCAATTTCAGTAGTAATATTTCATTTCAGGTTGGAAAATGTTTGGGGCTTCATTCTTTGGCTTGCAATCAATGAGAAACTTAGCAATAGAGACAGATCACAGACTAATGCCCCTCATTTGGCAACTGGAGGTGTCCTTTGTAATACTGCAATGGAATCTCACAACCATCTATTTTTGAGTGTGAGTACTCTACAAGGGTTTGGTCAGCTGTTATTTTCAAGTGTGACGTGCATTGAGAAAGATTAAAACAAAAATGAGACACAAATAAAGAAAAGTTCAAGTCATACTTGGCATGAGTTTGTAAGAGGAAAAATTGCATCAACCAAGATACTATCTTTGCCTCTTTGGTGTTTTGTACACCAAGACTAATTGCTGCAGGAACATATTCTTGTAAATATAGTGATTAGTTTTACAACATTCAACCTATGGGTTAAAGAATTCAAGTGATCAGGAGACTGCTTACACGTTTGCTCGTCATCTTCTCAGTTCAATAAACTGCCAGTCACAGTCCATCAAACTCAATTTCAATCTACTCTTGAATGCAACTTACTACATCTAAGTAGATTGTCCCACACTAACACTTTCGTGCAATAGTTATTACCAATGGCAATCCTATTGTAGGAATAGCTTCAGGTACATATGTTACTATTTTCATAGCCCAATAACCAATTTGGTCCCGAAGTAAAAAATAACCAGTTACATCAAAAGATGCGGTCAATACAATTAGAATAACAACAATAACCCAAGTCAATTCCCAAGGTTTTTAATTCCACCAATGAGATACACACGAAATGTATGCACGATCATCATTAGGACCATCATACTTCCCCATCCACCCCTTGACCCCTTAATATCTCCTTTAAAGGCCTAATGGATGCAATCAAACAATTTTCATTCAGTGGGAGTTTTCAGAACCTGTTCCTTGAGGGTTCCCAAATCTACAGCCATATGACCTCCCCTGACGGACTTTACATATAAATCCGCATGCATAGATAGGGGCCAACTTGTCCAAAGTTTGTGTAGTACCACGCTTGTCAAGTGTCACTTATGTGTTGCATTGTTGCAGAAGAAATTGCAACGTTTTCCCCTCTTACTCTCATGTACCATCAAGTCATTCATCTCCAAATTCGTCATATCAGGTGGTAGTGCTTAATTCAATTTTATGGCCTGATCCAACTGCTGCCTGGTTGCTTTGTCACCCCATACCTCTTCATTAATTCCCTCACATTAGCTGCCTCCTCCCACTGCCCCGCATTTGCATAAATATTAGACAAAAGCACATAAACTGCTGGGTTATTTTGTTCAGCTTCAAGAAGAAACTCGGCAACAATTCTTCCTAACCTTAAATTACCATGAGCTGCACAAGAACTGAATAATGTCCACCATGTGCTGACATCTATGTCAATGTGCTTATGGTTTACAAGTCTTTCTGCTTCATCAACATACCCAGCTCGACCTAAAAGGTCAGCAATGCAAGACAGTTGGTCTACTCCAGGTTCTAAACCATAAGTGTTCACCATGGAGTTGAAAATCCGAATGCCATCATCAATCAAACCGGCATGACTGCAAGCTGAGAGAACTGCAGTGAAGGTGGCGTTATCTGGTTTGATCCCACCCAAAACTTGCATTTCCCCATAACACTGGACAGCTTCCTTTCCCTTCCCATGCTGTGCATAAGCAGAAATAATTGAATTCCAAGAGACAATGTCTTTGTCAATCATTTCATTAAACACTCTCAAAGACCAATGCAAAACCCCACATTTTGCATACAGTGCAATAAGTGCATTACCCAGAGTTGTTTCTGGCAAATACCAACATTTGAGAATATAGCCATGGATTTGTTTCCCGTGTCTCAAGGTCGAAATGCTAGCACAAATGCTCAACATGATGCTGAGAGTATAAGCATTTGGCCTCACTCCTGAAACCAGCAGCTCACAGAACTGTTCTAAGCCCTGCACTGGAAACCCATTTAACTGGAACCCAGAAATAATGGAATTCCATGAGATCAAATTCTTGGGGCAGATGTCCTCAAATATTTGACAGGCCTGCTTCATATTTTTATGCTTACAGAATGAAGAAACTAATGCATTTGAGACTTCTGTTTTTGTGATAAGAGCATTTCTCAATACAATGGCTTGAATTGTCTCAACAATCACCAGCATCTCCGAGCTCACTAGCAGGCTTCCTATAGTGAACACATCTGGTTCAATCCCTTCTCTCTGCATCTTCATGTAGGCCAAGATTGCTTCTTTATTTAAATGCCATTGAGCATAGCTTGCTATCATGGTGTTCCATGAGATGATATCCTTCCATTCCAATCTCTCAAAAACCATTTGAGCTGCAGGCAAATCTCCACAGCTGGAATACATAGTTATTGCCGCATTATTCACAGAAGTAAAATCTTCAAAGCCCATTTTGATAGCTAGCGCATGTACTTGGTGGCCTACTCTTGGACATGAGCTTGAACTCAAAACACTCACGAAAGTCAGTTCAGTCGGTCTCAGACAAACATCTTGCATATCTTTAAATATTACCAAGGCCTCTTCATCTCTTCCCATGGTTATTAGACCAGCTATCATTGCATTATACGTGATCTGATCTAGTACTTTGTTTTCTGCATCTTCAAATACGCCATATGCATCAGCAACCCTTTCACAATTGGTATACATTGTAAGCAGAGCATTAATCACAGAAACTCTAACAATAAATCCAGTTTTAATTACCAAGGAATGAACTTGCCTCCCAAATTCGAGTAATTCCAGAAAACACAAGCTCAAAACGCTAGCAAAAGTGTAATTGTCATGCCCTACACCCAACAAATGCATCCTCTGAAACAAATCCAACGCAATTTCGTCATACCCATTTTCTGCGCAACCCGTAATTATTGCATTCCACACCGCAACATTTTGGTGCGGCATTTGATCAAACATTTGACAAGCATAACCAACCTCCCCAAGTTTAGTACAAGCCGACAACAATGTTGTCCATGAATAAACATCTGGGCGTTTGATCTCAATAAAAACCCTTTTCACTGAATCTAAGTCCTCCGACTTTGCATAGAGGGAAAGTAGAGAGTTCGCGACGTGAGGATAAGTTTTGAGCCCGGCCCGAATGGCGTGGCCATGGAATTGGTTACCGGTGTTCGTGTCGCGGTGGTTGGCGCAAGCGGTGAGGGTGGTGGAGAGAGTGTAGTGGTCTGGTTTGAGATGGTGGGATGAGAGAATTTGGCGGAAGAGTTGGAACGCGTCCGAGTAATGGTGTGAGCGAGTGAGGCTTGCAAGCAAACAGTTGAGTTCAATGAGTTGCTTGGTGGTATTTTCAGTTATGGTAGTTAGGCTGTCTTTGAAACATGTGAATTTCATCAGTTATTCTATTGAGTAAACTAAAACTGCAGAAGCCCCGTGACATAAAGAAGAGAAAAGGTGCCACATTTCTAGAGTCAGAATGATGAGAAAATAAACCCAATCATACCCATACAAATGAGCTGAAAATTTAGACATGATTTTAAATTTTGATAATCTTTTAGAGATCGGTAATGAAAAAAAAAATTCTTATCAATACCCTAATTTCGGCATAAATGATCTATCTTTGATCAAACCTAAGAAGAAATTAATAAAAATGCACGTAAATTGAAATTAATCGAGATACACGTGAATTAGCTCGGACACCCAATAAAAATTGAGTCCCAAAACAAAAATTTGGACAGACATGGTTATAACTAGAGTTTTATTTAAAAATTAATTTTTTGAAGATGTAAAATTACTAATTAGGCATATATTTAAGTATTGCTAATGGTAGGAGTATGTTATCAAAAATTATATTTTACAGAAAATTAAAACTGCTTTGTGCTAAAATACAACTTTTACAATATCAAATTACAACAAAAAAAAAAGTTAAGAGTGATACTAAAAAAATACTGTTTTAGGGGTCAAATTACACCCTTTTGGAAGGGTTAGTTACAACTTTAAAATGTTAGGATTGATCCTAAGTATTTTAGAAAAATTGTAATTTGATCTCAAAACGATAGGAGTTCAAAAATTCAATAAGTGTACAAAAAAAATGAGATTTATGGAGGGATAGACAATCAAGAAGATGTGATTGATTTTTTTTTTGGTCCGAAGATTTTGTTGAAAGTAAGTATGATTTACAAAAAAATGTATGAATATGTGATTTGTGCTGAAAAATTAATTGAACTAATTAGAGTTCGTAATATGATTGATAGATGGGATGAATTATTTAATTTGTAAGAAATTTTTTTATATAAAGTAGTGTCTAAAATACAAGTTACCTTATATAGTCTATTTGGCGAGACTAATAAAAGAATAAAGTTTATATCCAACTAAGAGCATCTCCAACAATAAATTGTATTTTATCTAATCAAAAAGTAATATTTTCTACTTTAGCTACTCACTTTTTCAATACACACTCCAACAAATTTTTTATATTTTTAACTATTTTCTTAAAATATTATTTCTCATTTTTTTTTATTATTGTTCTTTTCAACAACTAAATTTTGAAACAATCATCATTCTCAACAATCAATTTTCTCAAAAGGTTCTGTTTTTAACGGCTCTATTTTCAAAGGGCATTTTGTTTTCAACAGTCATATCCTCTCACTATAAAGAATATCATTTCGTTCAAAGTCCATTCCACCTAAACTCTAATGTCTATTTTCTTTCCTTCTCTGTGTTATCTGAATAACTCATAAACCAGTATACAAAATGCTAATTGAAGACTCTGACTCTAATGATGTGTTAGAAATAGTTACAAAAGTTCTTATGGCATATGAACTTTAAAACAGCAAGGGGGGATCCACATCACGATGTGGCTCTGTTCCAGGCTATGCAATCATCATCCGTGATTCTTTGCAAGGTCACCAAAGGCTTTTTCTTGATTACTTTGCAGATTCACCAACATATGATGCAAAGTTATTTCGGAGGAGATTTCGAATGAATTGTTCTCTTTTTCTTCGAATATAATCTACGGTAGAGGCTCACAAACCATATTTTGTTGAAAAAAGAAATTGTGCTAGAAAGCTTGACTTGTCTTCTCTTCAAAAAACAATGGCTGCTATTAGAATCCTTGCTTATGGAGTCGCAGCTGACTTTATGGATGAATACGTGAGAATTGGAGAAAGCACTGCAATAAAAAGTGTAGAAAAATTTGTTAAAGTAATGGTTTCGATTTTTTCCGACAAGTACTTAAGGTCACCAAATAGCAATGACATAGCTAGATTGCTAGAAGTTGAAAAAAGGCGTGGTTTTCTTGAGATGCTAGGGAGCATTGACTGCATGCACTAGCGATGGAAGAATTGCCCGACTGCTTGGAAAGGTATGTTTTTTAGACATGTTTGTGAACCAACAATAATTTTATAAGTAATGGCTTCATATGATCTTTAGATATGACATGCGTTTTTTGGGTCACCGGGTTCCCATAATGACATCAATGTGCTTGAATGATCTTTTGTATTTTCAGAGCTTGCTCAAGGGCGTGCTCCTCCAGTCAATTACTCAATTAATGGGAATAATTATATAATGGGATACTATCTCGTTGATGCTATATATCCCCTGTGGTCGACATTTGTAAAAACAATTCCATCCCCACAAGGAAACAAAAGAAAACATTTTGCTGAAATGCAAGAGTCAGCAAGAAAGGATATAGAATGTGCATTTGGAGTGTTGCAAGCACGATTTACAATTGTGCATGGACCTGCACGATCTTGGAAACGTGAAACACTCAACGACATTATGAAAGCATGCATAATACTACATAACATGATTGTTGAAGATGAACGACATACCAACAAAACAAATGGAGATTTTGTTATAGAGACCCCTGAAGTTATGGAGTTCATTCAAAACCATCATCGCATTGGAGATAGAAAAACTCATTGTCAATTCCAATCGAATCTTGTCGAGCACTTGTGGCAATTACATAGTCTATGGTAACAACTTGTATCACAACTCAAGGTTCCTATTGTAATCACAATTCAGTTTAGTCAAAAACATCAATGCATTCAGTACTTGTATTCACATTTTAATATTTTTGTGATCACCTATTCAATTTTTAATAGCTTGTTGGCATTACATGTACTGGTAACAAAAGCTAATAGTTCAGAAATAGTTCAAGAGTCCTAATAGGTAACAAAAGCAGCAAGCTACACCATAAAAAGTGTACTGCAGCTGAATAGCAGTCCAGATGAAGCGCAGATAGCAGCAAGCGTCTAGCTGAAGCAGAAAAGTCCAGCTGAGTAATGTCCAACTGAAGCAGAAAGACAGCAGCAGCAGCTAAGAAGCAGTCTAGCTACAGCAGCTGAACAGAGAGTCCAGCCAAAAAGATAACAAAACCATTAAAAACTAATTTCGCCTTCGCTTTTCTAGGATTTCCATTTGACGATGATGAATATATTCCCTTTGGATTTCAGATAGGCCACTTATATTCATCAACATAATTGTGTCATCGTTTTTGGTTTGTTCTGCTCAAAACTTTTCTTCCTTTAATCGAAGTCTCTCTTCCTCCTGCGTAGATGTTTTCTCCATGAGTTCTATTTTCCTCTCATTCATTTTCTTCCTATATTCTTTTATATCTTTAAGTATCTTTAAAGATACTTTTATATCTTTTATATCTTTAAGTATACTTGCAACTTCCAAGCTCGCACTATCATTACACTTTCTCTTTTTCAACTGCTCCTTTTCAGCCTTCCTCCCTATTGGTCTCTCCAAAACTACGGAGTCATTGGTGAAGACCTAGATTTATCGTGTCTGCTGAAGAAGGATAAGATCTTGCCAAAGATCTAATGTTTGGTTTTTCCTTGTCATTAATCCATTTGGTTGGCCCTTCAACGTATTCCAACAATGTTCAAATTGAAATGTAGATTTTTGCAATTCTTGATACATAATTTTCGCCCTACCAATCTACAATTAAGAAAGAGCTAATAATTAGACTTGTAGAACTATTAGTGTAGAAAAAAAAAATGTAACAATAAGAGTGGTGTACCATGCTCAAACACCTAATCAGTTTGTTTGTGACAAAAAGGTAAAATGTAGCAGTATGTAGATTTAGCTATTAGAGAAGATAACTACTTAGCTTCAAAACTTATCTACAAATCAATTATAAGAATCAAACTCTAATAGAATATATACCTTGTCTTGCTCATTCAATCCACTTTCATTAATGGACTCCATCTAGTTAGTCTCAAGATTCAAGGATATTGAGAGATAAGTCAGCAGAAAATCTGCCCTGAGGATCAAAAGAAAATCTGCCCCATGATCAACAGAAGATCTGCTGAAGAAGCAGTTCAGCACAACACCTTGGAAACATGAAGAAGTTCAGCACAACACCTTGGAAACATAAATGCTTTCTTATCTTGATTAATAGCTACTGCCAGCATTTTTCAAGCTATTTTATTCTTTCTTTACCTGTATAAATTACCCTATTGAGTTCCTCTGTTTTTCAAGTGTTAAACTGCATATTTTGAGTATATTCAATCTTTCACAATCTTCTTGTTCCAAGCTATTTTCTCTCAACAAAATTGTAGCTTATCTTTCTCATCCTTCATTCAATTCTAACATGGTATCAAAGCTGGATCTTTGACATGTTCTTTTACTCATCTTCCTCACTCTGATTTCCTTCTGCTGCTGTCTACTCCCATTCAAGTTTCATCATGTCTACAGCAGATAGAAATCTCTCACCATCCGAGGACCCCAATAGCCCATATTTCCTTCACCATTCTGATGGCATTAATACTGTTGTCATTACTCCACCTCTATCTGGCCCCAACTACCTAACATGGAGCCGATCCTTCACCCTTGCACTCTCTGTCAAGAATAAATTAGGCTTCCTTAATGGAAGGATCACCACTCCTGCTGCAACCAACGATCTTTATGGACCATGGGTTAGATGTAATAATATCATCCTCTCTGGGATCCTTCACTCCATCTCCCAGGAGATATCATCAAATGTCTGCTTCATAGGTGATGCAAAAAGTATGGGACAAACTAAAAGACAGATTTGCACAACTTGACAATGCTCGGATTTATCAACTTCAGCATCAACTTGGGACCATCATGCAAGGAACTCAATCTGTAAATGAGTATTTTACTCAACTGAATGCAGTATGGGAAGAAATACATAACTATCGACCATCACCAAACTGCTCATGTGGTCTATGTACTTGTAATGCACTTAGTTCTGTTGGAGAAAGGCAGCAGACAGACTATGTCTTTAAGTTCCTTATGGGCTTAAATGAGACATATGATGGCATTCAAGGCCAAATCATCATCATGAGTCCCATGCCCTCACTTGACAAGGCCTTCTCACTAATACGTCAAGAGGAAAGACAAAGGCAGGCCCGGGTTGCCATTTTTCCTGCTGCAGAATCTTGTGCT